CTACACCTCCAGACATTCACTCAGGCAATCTGGATAGAAACTGACAACAAGAACGCCACTGACATCGGTTGGCAGCCATATCCTGTAGTGTCTCTAACCAGGCACAGTGAGGATCACGCGGTCCTCATCCTGGAAGGCACTGACATCATCCAAGCGTTTCGTGATCTCCTTCATACTCCTCTGTCAAGCCAAGGGTTGGCTACCTCTCTGTTTACGCCACTCCGAATTGGGCATGGAAAACAGCACTCTCTTCGGCAAACGATGGTTCGGCATACGCAACACATGTCCCAACCAACGTAGCTTCCGAAAAACCGAATACTAGCATCGATATGCCATCTGTCATCATTTGAACTCAAATCTTACTTCTGACCCTATCCATTGGTCATGTGACTACCGAACTCGATTGTCAAAATCAGTTTATCCTTCATGACGAAAGGCGAGCCACCGTTTTACTGGGTCAAAGCAGTCATTCAATCTACCACGGCGCTCAGTATTTGCACAATGGGGTTAAACGTCCGAAAGCTACAACGTGTCCCTGACAGACAACTGGGTTCAGAATACCAATTCAAACTTTCGAGCCCCATCTAGGCAACCCAGGGGTCCCAGTGATGCTAGGAAAGTATTTCACCAGAATTTTTTGCGCCAAAGGTATGATTGTTTCAGCGGACAATCCAATCTGATGAACTGCAAAAATATGAACGTAGATTAGGGCGGTTTTTGGTTTGAGCACATACGCAACAAAGTGCAACTTTTTGATGTAAACAGCTTTATTCCACTCGCGAAGGTTTTGTAGGCAAGAGCATTGTGGGTCGCCATCTACCACAATGTATCGATTCACTCCGGAGGGCTACCGTCTTTATGGAAATGTCATCGTTGCATGAAAGCCAAGCAATTCCTTCATCCAACTATTCATCCGGCGGTAGCAAGTGTACTCAGTTGGAACGGAAAGCAATGGATCGTCCTGTGTGAGTTTGGCGTGTACCTCTCAGGACGAGCCATTTGGGCGATGTTCTGTAATCCGCTTGGACAAATGCCGCACCACATACACAGTTGAATTCATGAATAACCGTCGATGTGGTCAACACTGGCAGTTTGTATTTATTTCGCGGGCATAGATGAGATGAAGTTGAAAGGAACCGGCGAATTTTAACCGTGTTGAATACGGGATCTTACCGCGTTGGGGAGACTTACGGTTAGCATCGCGGTTACTGAGTCGTCCTGGAATGAGAGCACTGGAAAACGGTATTTGGGTTCGATTGTTTCGATTACTTTCGTTTGGTTTCTATTCTGCATATTGCGTGATAATAACCCATCAGGGTAACCGCTTTCCCTTAGAGCATCCAATTCGAGTTCCATCTAAGCATATTTTTTGAGCCCTTGAAGCAAAACTGCAAATGAAGTTTTTCTGATCGTAGAGGAACAAACCAATGAAAGTGAATACAGTGCTCACCACATGTGTTCTCTGCTTTTTTGAAAAGTTATTGATTTTTTTCCATACAGCCACAGATCCATAAACGAGCTCTGATCACACACTCCCCTTTCCTATTGAATCGAGTCAGGACTTCATCTGAATCGCGGTCTGCCCCAACAGCACAAAATATGTTTTTCACACAGCTGTGGTACTGGACGAATTCCGATATATCATCCCTCGGATTTTAGTTCTCAAGTTTAGCCATGCAGATATCAGCGAGTGATGGGCCTAGTGAAACTGTACATTAAATTTCTTCAGCTTATATGCTGGTATGTATAATGAAACGTTCGCGGCTTCGACATGTGTGCACAGGTGGGCAGTACCTTTCAACAGAGAGACATTTGTGAACGAGGGGACTACATCAGGCGAGAACATGGTTCTAAGATTAAGATTAGTTGGTCTTACTTGAAATTTGTTGCGCAGGCCGTAACAGACTGTTTGCAGTCCGATAAGTTCCGAAAGTCGAACCAGTCGAACTAAGATGCAGCGTGGTATGGAAATCCGTCAGAACAACTATGGGGCGCTTCGGAAGTCCTGCTTTACGAATCCAAACGCGGCACGACTTAAAACCACTGGATTTCAAGCCATTGAATATGCTGGTGGAGGCATAAACCCGATCTCTAAATTCTTCCAAGTACGTGATCAGTTCAATTTCAGTCCGTTCAACTTGGTCTTTCTCAATACTGTCTTGCGGAAACCTGGTTTCATCTTCCAGTAACGCAACTAATTCTGAAAGTAGTCTCTTATGGGTTGCTCCGTGGTACTTTCACTGCATCAAGATGCTCACGCGACTGTTGAGTCCTTTGCGGTCTATTTGATATTTTCTATACTAGTAAAACCAGTGAAACACAATGCGGATGTGAAACGTTCAAAATCTTCGGGTCCAAGTCCGCAATAACTATGTTGCGCAATATGCAGGACAGAACCCAAACGAAAGTAGTCGAACAGTTCCTAACCCGAACAACTTTTTTCTAATGCTCACTTTCTAGAGCAAATCGGCGACCAAGGTGTTACCAGAGGTTTCCGTAGCATGAATGTGGATACAGACATCTGTCTGTCCGTTAAGAATCATTGTCAACCCATTTCCGCATGTTTACAGAGATGTCTTAAGTTGCACGTCTGAAGAAAAGAAAACGTTCAGCTGTAGCAACCTTCCAGTGCCAAGCTGCCATGCCACCCGAAGGTTGCACGAGGGCTTGGGTACTGCCAGGTTGCCCAACCCTAGACAGGGGAAATCGGGAGGCAGTGGTCGGGTTCGAACCGCGGACCCTCCTGTCAGTAAATTCGCGCCCTAGCCACTTAAACCATTTCGTCCCGCATGTCCGAAGGGAGTGCAAGAAACCTGGACGTCCTATGACATAAGTCTTTTACCCATACTAATGTCTCCGTAGATCTGATGTGCTAACTCGAATATGTAGCTTTGCTCGAGTGACTTACCTGATGGACACCGGTATTGATCTGGTATCCACACCGCGTGCAAATTTTCCGCTTGCAATGCATGCACACATGACCCAAACCATCGGCGAATTTAGTTTTCCGGCATACCCCGCAAGTGGCGTCCATGATCCCTCCGGTCCCCAGCGTGTTGCCGCTCACCACATTCAATGCCCCACTGACCATATTGCTCACGGTATTTTTGAGTGGAACCCCAGTCAGGGGTCTGTCAGTGCCGTTGATATTGGAATCAAGGCCCGTCGGAACACCACCGCTGCCTACCCCGCTCACTGAGGTAGGTGCCAACGCTGCGTCCGGCTTCGGCTTGCTAGCAGATTCTGTTTTCCTGTGAAGGCAATTGAAAGAAAAGGTCATCAAAACAAAGCTCACTCAGTCTGGAATTCTACTTGGAGTGGGGTGATAGCTCCAAGGGGAACGTATCACATGCACCACTGAAATCAATAGTTCAGAATATTAGTAGTGATGTGAATACGTGATTCTTCTATAAATAAGTGAATTAAATGTCTTAAATCCCCTCAGTCTAACCGGACACAGTAACGCCCTGTCCTCATCCCATCACCGGTGGGGGTCCAGTCTCATGTATCTCTAAGCCCGGAGATGACATACAAAATGTCTCAAGCCAAGCTCTTCTTAAAAGATGAAAATCCATGAACGGATTTGATTGGTTGAGATCAGCATATATAAGGCTGGTTCTCGGCCTGAAAAGTCTGTGCCTTCCACCCTGAAAACGGCTTATTTCGAAAGATAAAGAAATCAGACCAGATATACTGAAATCTTTCTTGCCAAGTAAACCGCTGAAAACTCGACCTCTTTCCACAGTTCAGTAGAGGGGGTGGGTTTATCAGCTGTTGCTTTGTTCGCCAAGCTTGACTAGATGCTTGAAAACATCGTCATTGCGAGATTGGGTTGGTAATTGGTTTACTCATGCTTGCGTTTATATAGGTTTGAAGAGTTGTCAGTACTTGCGACGCACTGCTTGCTCAACGTATTTTGATTGGTCAATTTAGGATCTGCATGGCATTAAGGTCTGATTATCTCCCATCCGGTTGGTTCGTTGAGTGGGCAAGATAACCAAGCCAAGATGCAAACCAGATCCAACTTACGTTCTAGCCAACCTTGAAGCAACCAATGATGATGCAATCACTTACTACTCCTAAGAAACTATATAAACGCAAACAGAAGTGAAAGAACCACCAACCCAACCACGCAAGGATGTCTACCTGCATGGTGACGGAACGTCTGCAAGCTAATGACCCATTCCGCTGAACAGATCAACTGCTGCCTCCACATCAGCAACCAATTTCGCAGTTCAGAATAGTGCCAATACATTTCCTTCTTCAACTTGAGATCCTGAAGCAAAGTCCGCAAGGCGGTTTTTAGCTAAAAATCGTTTTCAATGCAAAACCTTGTCAACGCAGTGGGACGTGGCACATTGGTTTTATCAAGGCCCACTCTGAGTAAGCAAAGTTCGTAGAGGAGGCCAAGCAACAATACCAACAGAGGGCATATCTGGGTGCGCCAAATGCCTGCTGTTGAACATGTACAGTAGCAATAAACAGGCCTGAGTCATCTCGGCTGATGAACTATCCTGCACGATAGCGGCTAACTGGGCTATGGAAGCCTGACCACTCATATTGTCAGAAAACCCGTAGAAAGCACAGTGTAGCTACCCTTTCGCCACATACATGATTGTACAGGTCACCGCCACTCGCTGGATCACGGGATCTATTTTTTTTCCTTGCACTCACAGATCACGCTACAATCGTGACTAACTTGACTACACAGCTCACAGTCAAGCCCTTCATTCCCTAATAGTACAAACCACGATACACATCCGATATCGACTGTCTACCGTCTGATACGGCAGCAAAAGTCATGTGCTGACACCCACACACACGCAAACGTCCTACAAATAGGATGCCAGCACAGCAACACGACACAACTCAACAGAGCTTCGCACGTCACCCAGCTCGGAGCAGAGCCGCTTGGGACTTAGGGCGCTTCAGTCACGGATTTTCAGGAATATGTGTGGCTGTTACAACAGCGAAGAAGACACGAAACCTGCATCCGGACTTACAACAGGATTTATCAACCTGTACCTCCAAAACGCTCTTGTTCGCATATATACCTGTTGTGATAATTTTACTCAACAAGCGGACATTGTTAGTGATCCCCGTTTTCTCGTTCGTATAACTAGTTTTCGGGTTCTGTTAGAGCATTAACAACAGTGACTCAGGTACTTTCATGTCGGTCATCAAATGGGGCCACACCAACCCCAATCTTAGCCATTTTCTCGTATCTTACATTCACAGAATCCTTGCCCTAAATCAGGTTACGTTTCAATTCTATCGATTTTGCTAATTTAACCACATACGAAGGTTGAGCTAAAAGCAGAAAAATTAAGTGATAAAAAGCCAAGCGCGGGAATTCAATGCCGCCCCTAAAACGCTTCATCTTTTTGGTGTGTGTGTGAACAGTTGTTCCACTTTGCCTAAAGACTACTCAAAGATAGCTTAAGGTTGCAAATAGACAGGAACTAATTTAATGAGAATCATTGGAAGCACAGCAGGAGTGGATACTTGGCTCGATTGTTCGGGATCTGTTTACAGACTTCCAACAAAGTCTCGTAGTAAACGCCTTTTTAGGTACCACAACTCCCCATTAACCTATGTGTTTTTTAAATAAAGATTGTGTTAATATGACCGTGGGGTGCTCCCGATAGATGAACTGTTGTATGTTTAGTGACTGAGCAGTTGAAACCAGTCTTGAAAACGTGATACAAGATGTGTTCTCACGCTACATGGCAGACAAATCTAGCGAAACTCAGCCGGCCATCGGCTTTCGTCTTTCAGAAGTAGTTTAGGAAGAATGGAGGTTCTTATCGACTGGTGACAATCAATCAATCAATCAATCAATCAATCAATCAATCAATCAATCAATCAATGGGTCGATCAATCAATCAATCAATGTATCGGCTATAAACCGTGTGCGACAGGCACACTGGTTTCAGCTAATACGGTTTCGATCGCCGGAAAACGGGAGTGTGGGACATACAACCAAGGCTTGTAGGCGACGGCATGTTCAGTTTGTTTAGAAATCGGGTAGCTACGTATTGAGGGCGATAGCTTTGATGCATGAGCGCCACGGACTGCGCCATTGGACCATGTCTGCTAGTGTCATTAACTATTGGTGAGATAAGTCCCGGGGTCCCCATCCAGAAAAGCGGCAGTTGTCGACCCGACTAAGTTCACTGGTAAGTGTTTTCATACACCGTTGCCAAGCCACCTCTCGGTCGCTTCCACTCGGCACAGAGGTCGGCAAAATAGCTCTGTGAGGCAGACGGTCTTCTGGTATGCAGAGTACGTGTTCTTATCAGCGTGAGTAATTCACCTATCACGGGGAAGTTTGTCCTTCCAAAGACCATCTGGCGCACCACAGCATTACTGATCCGATATCCCACCAAACCAGACAAATGCTTCGGAGACACCGAGGGTCAGATCTGACAACTTTCTTAGACCCTTCGTGCGTAGAGGCCATGTCTCTGATCCATAAAGCAGCATGGATCGCACCGCCGCAGTGTAGACTTTGCTCTCGACAGACAAACTGACGTCGATCAGTGCTACCAGGCTAAAGCTCAGTTGTCACGTTTTTTCGTCTTCCACGGGGGCGGCCGGTCAGAAAGAGCCGAGAAGTCCAGAAACAGTGAAGAAATGTCTTGGAACAACCAAATTAAAACAGACTCTCACTTTAGGAGTTCTGAAAACGCAGTGTTTGTCACAATGAACTGTCACACAACTTCACTGAAAAATTGTTCCAATTGGAACAAACGACGTTTGACTTTAACAAATCGGTGAGTTGTTAAGCTAGCAAATTCTACTGCACGAGCTAATGCAGTGCGTGATGTACAAACACACGAAAGTCATAAACTGATGTGACGAAATGTCTTGAATTCAAAATAATCCCTTGACGGAACTACTCATGAGGTTGCTGAAAGCTCTTCGACAAGTAACGATCGGTTTTGCAGTCCTCGATTCGTCGTCAGCCTTACGTTCCACTTGAACACAAAGTTGTGGGCAACTGGTGAAATTAGCAAACAAAACTTGTTGACGGGAGTTTTGACTGAATCCCGGCTACATATATTTTTTTATGACATTTCCGAATGAATCTTCTGTTCAAAGACCGCCTTCAGGCTTCATTTGGTACAATATTCGATATATCAAAGTATATCTTTGCCAGTTGCGTGCAATTTGGTGTTCAAATCGAGAATAACGTTGACAGAAACTCGACGACTGTGCCCACCTGAAGGGTGCCACAAGAAGAGCGAAACAAGTCGCGGGCTGTCGAGCTGAGTTCAGCAACCTTATGAGTGATGTGGTCCGTCAAGAAAATATACTAGATATCAGATACGGGACGGTCTTTGTGCAGCAAATTCAGTTGGAGAACATGAATGAGAGGTTTAGCTGAGTTTAACGTTAACACCAACCTTGTTTACAAGTGGGTGCAGTTTGCCAACAAAGTAGCATCTCTTTGCGAGAGAATTACCGTAGAAAGGAACGACTAAAAAAACCCAGTCTCTCTTCGGACGAATTAATCATAGCGAATCTACTCTTTGCAACATGCACCTTCTGTGCTCGCGATATTTTCCGGTAATCGACCCGGTGACATTTTACCTCCATAGGGTGGATGAAATCTAGGCGGTCTCTGGATAGTTTCAGCTGAACTCCTAACTTCGTTGTCCGTGCGTGCAGTACGGAGATCGATTCGTTCAAAGCACTCGGAGACGACCAGTACAGCGTAGTTGAACGCTGCTCATCGTGTTTTATCAGCCCGCGTCAGAACTCCCCAGTGATTTTGTCAGTAGCTCCGGTTAACTATTTTTATCTCTCCAAAACATCAAGGTTTCGTGGCATATTGGAGCAGGACAGAACCATGACAGGTGTACGCGCTAGTCAGCAGGACTCCACGTATAAACTGAGGATATCGGAAACCAATCGAAAGAGGAGTCAAAGTACCATGAGAAGTTGATTTTCGCAAAAAATGCCTTCATCCAAAAGTAGGACGGATGGTCTACCGGAAGTTTGTTCACATCCACCAAAACAACATCAAGATTGTCATAAAATCACTGTCGGAAGAGAGTGGATGCCAAACAGAGCCACCGGTTCAAGAAACCCCAAAATGAGCGGTCGAGTTGCAACTCACATTTGATTGGAGCTGATGACAACGGACCAACGGCTCACACGCATGGCTCAATTTTATTTGAACAAACAAAACAACAAAATCAAACAACATTGGTTGCATTTCTCGCCGAGTGGCAGTCTTGTGTTGTCACTCGGTCCGTCATTATTTGAAGAACGCTTAGAAGCAGCCGGTAGTGACTCTTTGATGTGGTGGTGTGGGAGAGAAACCAGACCCATTTGTGACTGGCAAAGTGCAAATCAGTATCCACTGAAACGGCCACAAATTCTCGAAAGCCATGACAATATACCTTTTACTGGTTGTAGCTGCTGTTTGCTTTCCTTGTATCATTGTCTTTTTTGTAGCCATTTATTGATTTTTACGAGCCGAACCCTTCATCAAGCGACACTTCTAAGCATGAGACAGTTTTGGTGCTCTTAGTGCATCCCATTAGGAGTGAGTAACTCAGCAGTGCACTAGAAGTGAAGATTACGATAACAGAACTAAATTTCTGGAAACTTTCAGCAAGACGGATGTTATTGCTCACATTTGGTAACAAATGATCCAAAAAGGCTGAAACTGATCATGTGCTGTCGAAGAGTTTTCGGCAACTTCGAATATCGTACCAACTGGAACATGAGGTGGCTTATGTGCAGCGTACTCAGTTGAAAAATATCATCGACGTGAAAGGGTGCAAACGAGTGTATTTGTCGAAATCTGTCCCATTCGGGTTCAAGTAGAACATAGGCTTGACGGAGACTCGAGGACTGCGCCTACCCGATGAACCCAAAGAAGAGTGAAACTGGTCGTGAACTGTGGAAGTCTCCAGCAACAAATGACCCTCTTTACACCTCCATAAGACTGGGACGATCATGTCTTCGCCGAATCATGAATTCACCACCCTACAGTGTTTGTCGTTGACATTGGCGCGCTTCAACTCTGAGACAACCAGCTGCGATCAGGTTGGACAGCGGCACAAACATTCACACAGGGAATTTCTCCGAGCACTGTACCTGACTAGGTCATACCTGGTGAAGTAGGACATCAGTGGGTACTGCGGGAAACGCTTAGGTATCTACAGCCATAAAGCCCGTCATTTCTGTAGTTAATTGTGAGCGTATGCCTCCAACAGCTGTCCTTGAAAGCGATTGGCTCTAATTCTTATCACGTGCTTTGTCACACGTCAGTTCCATTTCTCAGTTTTTCAGACTTTCAATTGAAGACTATGTGTCCCTGTGCTTATGAGAAGATGTGATAATGTTGATTGTACATGTTAGAGCATGACGTGTATCCAAATCCATAACTTAGTTTATCCTGTAGGTAAGACAACGTTCTCTGTCGTGAAGGTTGCTCAGACTGGCCGAAAACCCTTACTTAAGAGCTTCGGGTATTATCGGGCTTTAACTAAGCATATGTCTACGTATTTTAGCTTAATAGTAGAAACTACGTAAACCTTAACATCATCATCATCGACAGCATGACATCAGTGTTCAACACCGATGCTTCACTGCCGTACAATTGTACGAGGGCTGGGATTCTGCCAGGGCACCCACACCTAGACAGGAGGACGATTAGGGTCCTCAACCAAAGCCTTTGGCTCAAAAGCCTAACCACAAGGCAGCGGTGTTTGGCGGAGAATGCAAATGCATTATCATTTCTACGGAACAAGTCTCCACATGTTCCAACCCCCAACCTGGGAGGCCAGGAGATAGTGTTTGCCAGACCCCTAACCATTGATCAACCTGGTATGAGAGACTCTGTGGGTGTCACGGGGACACTCCTCAGTATAGCTCAATAGATCGCTGAGGTGTGCAAACCGTCACATCACAGCAAGGTCCAGTCTACTCGTGACATAGAGATTCGCCTACCCAAACCACGAACTCAGTCCCAAGTGCCGGGGGACGTGAGTGTAATCGGCTCCACCAAAATCAGTGACTAGATGGATGTTCATGTAGAACCGGTCTCGTCGTACAGTTTGGTTCGATTT